GGGGCAGGCGGGATTCGAACTCATGCGGAAGTGGCTTCAGATTCTCAGTGCTGTGCTTTAACCCGCTGCGCCACCAGGGAGGGCCAAGACAACTCTGTTTTTAAAATAGAAAATAGAGTTACCTTCTTAAGCAGAAATTCCACAGCTAGGTTTACACCCTAAGAGCGCTGAAAATACATACTCATAGTAAAACTGGTACACGAATGTTCCTGTGGCACAATTCATTTTGGCCAAATAGTGGAAATACTACAGAGGTCCATTAAATGATGAATAGATAAAATAAGGTAGACCCCTATGATGGAATCTTGTAAGTCATAAAAAGAAATGAGGTGCAGACCCGCGGGACAACATGGACGCATCTCTAAAGAATTATGCCAGGGAGCTTGGGCAGCTGCCTCCTGGAGGCTGCGGAAAGGGGTCTGCAGTGGCACCCGCTGGGTCTTCCTCCGTGTCGTGAGAGGACGCCCTTCGAGACCCCTGACCCAGGAAGGGTTGGGTACCGGACTTCTACTTGCATCTTCCCACTGTCCTCAGCATCTCTCAGCATCTCGACCCCACGCCTGTTTCCGCTCCAGTGTGGCACTGCTCACTCCTTCATCGACCCAGAGCGCTGCGTGGCACGCTGCTGCCCAGGTTGCCGATTCTGTGGGGTTCATCTCTTTGCCAGCAGCAAATACTGAAGGGTGGGCATGGCTGTGATGGCGGAACTGGGGGCTGTAACAGCCTATTGTCTTGTTAGTGGCGTCTGTATCTTAGAGCCTGAGAATTAGACAGCCTTCCCCAGATGGCAGGGAAGAGAATAAATTGGAAGAGGTGGCTCCTTGGACCTGCTAACGGCCTGTTTTTTTGAATCATGGGGTTAGATGAGGTGAGGGCCAAATCCTTTCCTGCAACAACGCAGGGAGGCATGTTTGGGCTGCTCATTTAGTGAGTCAGTTTTTCCGCATTGTCTACCCCCCATCTTTCAGCTCTGTGTTTCTGTATATTAATAAAGATTATGATATGAATGATAGATCATACATCTTTATTAGAGTAAAGATAATTTAAAATGAAATTATGCCAAGTGAAAGAACCCAGAAGGCTGCATATTGTGTGATCCCATTTCTACTAGTTGGCCAGAATGGGCTAACCTTTGAAAAATGGATTTATGGAGCCAGGGCCTGGGAAGATGTGACTGCTAATGGGTACAGGATGTCTTTGGTGTGGTACAAATAGCCTGGAACTAGGTAGTGGTAATGGTGGAGAACTTTGTGAATATACTAAAACCCCCTGAATATATTTTGTGGTATGCAAATGTTAATCGGGTTTTTAATATTTGTCCTTAATTCATGTCTTTACTCTTCTGGCTCTTAGAAATGTATTTAGTTTCGCTCCTGGCAACACAAAGCCTTTTTCCTTCTCCATCCCTCCCGTCCAGGTTGCCCGCTCGCGGGGAGGCCTGCGACATGTACGTGTTCTTCCTCCGTGTCAGGTGTATCATCATCAGCGGGTCTTGCGTGAGGTAGCTGCACCAGCTACTTCGTTAACCCTCCTGCTTCCGATCTTGTCCCCCAATGCCCCACCTCCTCCGCCTGCCAATTTATTCTCACAAAAAAAAATGGGCAGATATTGTTTAAAAATTGAGTGTATCATGGCATTCTCCTGCTTGTCCAACAATTCTCCAACAATGTCCAAGGTTCCTCAAGTTACCTGAAGTGCTGTTGTGACACACCATGCATCCGTGTCCACTTCCGTTTCCTGCCCATGTCCCCAGCTCATGTTACAGATGTCTGTGCTTGAAGTAGCCCTGCCGCTGGACTTCTGCACACGCTGGTTTCTCTTGGCGGAAACCAAGAGGAACTGTTCCCTCCTGCCCTTTGGGTGATGGGCTCACTTCTCTTAGCCTCAACCATTCCGTACACCTTCTGCGGTCATTATAACTGTATGAACGACCCGTTTACTCTAATATCTCCTGTTCAGCGCTGGTTCTAGGACCGCACCTTACCTACCACCATTGGTGTGGAAATGGGTGTTTTCATTTCTTCCTAAATCTGTTTTCCTCACTAGACTTTCAGGCAGGGCCTGTGTTAGTGTTGGTTGTCCTTGTTTCCCGTGTCTACAGCAGCATCTGCCACACTGGAAGTGTTAGCCACCTGTCTGCTAAAGGACTGAACCACGGAAGAATTAAATCTTTTGTCAAAAGTCCTCAGATGTAAAGTTTGTTATTCAACAATTTAGCATAAAAATACAAATTGAATTGGTAAAGAATAAGTTACCCCCCTGGAAAAACCTCATTATTGACACTTATCTCTGAGGAAAAATGCACCTTCATCTGTTTTCTTTTTTATTATTGATAGTAAATATATTTTTGTTCCTTATGCAGAATGATGGCTGTTTTGGTACTTCAAGTGGAATGCGTCCTTTTCAGCTTCAAAACTGGAAGCAGAAAGTTAGTCGGACTAGGAAAACAGAGTTTATTCGCACAGCAGAAAAATTAAAAAATCAGTAAGTATATGAACACCATCATCAAATAACATTCCTAGCCATTTATTATGATCAATTAAAGTTTATTCGGTTCCACCCTTCCAATCACACGTGAACTTAAAAGTTCTAATTGCTACCCTTGAACATGTTGAGAGAAATGTTGTACATGTGATATAGACAAATGATACTAGACTAATATAAAATTAATTTTAATCAGTTATGTAAATTTTATTTATTTTTGCTATTTGAATCAGTATATTTCAGTCAGTGGAAACAACAACTATTTCTTTATTTCTCGTATCTTAAATAACAGATTGAATATACTAAGTGCTCAGTAAATGGATAGTTCTAGCAAAAATCTATGTCCTTCAGTTGTTTTTCTGAAATGGCCTTTTAATTGGTTTCCCTCCTGTCAGAGCCATCCAGCACTTGGTACTAAACTGAGACGTTGCTGTTTATTTAAATGTTTAGCGTGTATACATATTTTTTCTTTAAATAAACAGTGATATTTACTGAAAGGTCAGTGTTGTCAACACCACCCTCATATGACAGATATCAGAAGTGATAAATGGAGTCAGAACTCAGAGCACACAGCCCTGCCCTGTAGTTCCTTTACAACTCCTGCTTGAATTTATACAGTTGACTAAAGAACGTCATAAAGGAGACAAGGAGAGGATAGAAAAAGGAATGTCTGGCCAGAATGGGTGACAGTTGCCTGTTTAGAAACTCTACCTAGTAAAAGTAAACTGTCTGAATTTTGAAAAGTTATGCTATATGGTAGATATATTCTCATTGCATTTTTATGGTGCGTATATTTTTAGTCTTCAGAATTTGAGAAATAAAATTTTATTTTCCTTGATGTAATTTTACGTGAATGTACATATGTTCCACATTGCACACGCAGAGTGTTACTTTGGTGTACTTTCAACGTAGTTTTGACACTATTTTGAGTGAGCCTCTTATCGTTGGCAATTTGCCCAAATTAGTATGTTTCGAATGTCTTTATTGGTTAATGTTTCTAACCCAGAGATATAAAACACAGCTTGCTGTTACATCATACCTGGTGTCCAGCAGATATTTCCATTTGACTGTAGTAATTTCCCCAGCCCTGGCCCCGGCCTAATCGGCAGCACCCCAGTCTAGTAAGAGTTGACCTGTAGATGAAAATCCGCTTGCCACCTTTGCTGGGCCCAGTGCCTGCTCTCCCACTGCTACCTTACGGTCCCCTCAGCCTTGGGCACAGCCAAGTAGGGCTGGCACAGCCCCATTTGTTTACCTCGCTGCCACTAATAAATGTTCCGTTTTCCTCTGTTTGGCAAAGAGGAGAAGACTAGGACACCACCTTCATTGCGCCGCAGGCTAGGTTGTACGAAGTTATACCAGTGACCAGAGATTCCACCACTAATTGAACCCATGCTTAGTGGATAAGTACTCATATTAATTTCTTCCCTTTGAGAAAAATGAAATAGGTGTTGAGAAATTTTTTTTTGTCTAACCAGAAAGTTTCTTGCTAGTTAATAGTTTGGTTTTACCCCCAGATTTAAAGTAACCATTAAAACACCCTACTCCTACATGGACTGAAGACAAGAAGCAGAGATGAGAGCAAATAAGCTTTGACGTAAATGTAGACACTTTCCTAAATGTATTAAACTGCTTGTCGTCTTAGGTTATTTGCCTCTTGAAGTTTTAGTTTTATTATTGTTAAATATTAATACTTCCATAGAACATTTTTACTTTATGAGACTCCTTACATATATTACCATATATCACCGTCTTTTAGTTTTATTATTATTAAATATTAATACTTCCATAGAACATTTTTACTTTATGAGACTCCTTACATATATTACCATATATCACTGTCTGTTGAGTCATGGGGAGCAACTGCCCCCATATTTTTTAAAGATTTATTTAATGATGAAGAGGTTCACTCTGGAGAGTTTAAATGTCTTGCATCTCCTGAGAGTGGTCAGCAGCCATAGTTTTTTCAGGTCGCAGTGACCCTGATGTGGAATCTGTTGTCAAAGACTTGTGTATTTTCAAGGCAGGTCTATGACTGCGGTTTCCTAAATTAGCATTTTGTGATTTAAATAACAATTCAAGTTCCTCATGATGTTAGTTGAATTTGATTCTTTTCTAACTACCTTTTTGACTCCTTGGTCTTATTAATCCAAATATTTGTTTTTGGCTCCTTAGATGAATTAACCCAAACTTAAAGTGCTGATGATTCTAAGTGTCTTCATATTTTGAACAATTAAAATATATTTAAACCATACTTATACCATTTACTTCTTTTCCTAAAGAGTTATTAACATAGAAAAAGATAAACACAGTCATTTCTACAACCAAAAAAGTGACTTCAGAATTGAGCATAGTATGCTGGAAGAATTGGAAAATAAATTGATTAACAACAGGAAAACAGAAAGTAAGTTCAGTTCATGACGAACTAAAAACTGTCGAGTGACCGAAAGTTGCAGTTTGCCCTGCGCTTTGTCTTTGTGCGTTGCTGTGTTGTGTTGGTGACCGGCACCCTTCTTCCTACTTGGTGATAAGTTTGTCTGGCGGGGATATGTGTTTACCACCATTTCAGCCACTGCTTAGTTGTCCTGAGCGCTTTGTTTTCTTTGTGTATTTCTTCCCTTTTAACAGGGAAGTGAGGGCCTGGGTTTGGGGTTGACAAATAGTAGAGAATATACAACTCCTAAAGTAAAGAGACACTGCTTCCTGGGGTGTCTGATTTTAGCTCAGCATCTGATCCCTGGACTCGCAACCACCAGTGGACTAAGGGCCTGTCTTTAGTCGCAGCAAAATTCCTCAAGCCACATTATTGCAGAGTAGATGTGTATGTTGCAAACGCCTTATGTTAAACACTGTTTAGCTTTGCTTCAAGGAAAGATAGTGGTTATCAAATAATTAAACTTATTAACTATTAAGACTGTACAGAGATATGTGCTTATAATCAAAAGAATGTAAGATTGCACCTTCTTTAAAAAAAAAAAAGAAAAAGATTGACAGGCAGTGGCAAGAACCTTGCTCCCAATTCTGTCTGGAATGACTGTAGGACCTAACATGAAAACCAGATTTCCAGCTCTTCTGAATTTCCCTCATATTTTTTTAGACATCTGAGCGGTTGATTGTTTTCTGTTTCTTGATCCCGCCATTAAATACCGTCTTCACTCTGTGCATTTTAAATCACAGGCAGCTTTATCTTCTTGTTTTTATTTTTGTTTTATGGTTTTGCCTTTCATGAGTCACGCTGTGTTTCATCTAGGGGAGGAAGGCGCACATTGTTTTTATATATGTGGATGTAGAGTTTCCCCTCACATATTGCAGTTTAGAAGGAATCAGCATCTGTTCCTTACACAAATGCCATGCTACAGTTCTAACCCGCATTGCTGAAATGCTGTCTTTAAAAAGTTTGCCTCTGTAGGATGCCAGTTCTTAATGAATTGATGAAAGATTATTTGCCCTGCACCAGTAACACTAACTGATCCAACTGGCAAAAACAAAACAACAAAAACCATATTCCTACTTTTCTAACTTTCCTAGAAAAGTTTCTTGGCCTCAAATTCCATCAGTGAATAAAGCCCCCTAAAATACGTTGTATGAAATTTCTTTTATGAGACTCTTGGTTTAGTGAAAAATAGATCAAGCCCACGTCGTCATGGACATATTTGAGGTTTGCTTGGGGTATTATCACTGACTCCAGGCCCTTCAAAAAACATTTTCCAAAAAAACTGCTTTTAAGGATTTTTTTTGACAGTGCTTCATGTTCATTTGTGAAGAAATGACCCTAAAACCAGAAGGTTCACAAGTACCCAAAGATGGTGACATAATTATTTTACTATTACCTGAATCTGTCTATCTGCGTGTGCATATGAATATGAATATTACGTTAACTTAATGCTATAAATAAAATGATAACTTTAAAAAGAGAATATGAAAGATGAAGCTGATCTTTCTGCCTCTGACTCACAACATCTGAGAGGATGGCTTTGAAATAGTCCTGTTTGCCCAGCTCTGACTGTGTTTTTCTTGGGCTGGCTCTTTGGTTGAGCCTGGTAGCCTGCAGCTTAGTGCCACAGTGACACCCGAGGCGGCTCCTCGAAGCGTGACACTGACCCCGGTTTTTAGAGGCTATGTTTAGATAAAATTCTCATTGGGAACTTTGTCAGTCTTCGTATAATTAATGTCGATTTATTTAACAGTTTTTATAGTCCACAAGAGTTGAAGTCAAATTCTATGTTGTTAGGCTAGACCACTGCTAAAGAACAAAATATCACTGAACCTAAGCTCCTGATCCATCATTGGAGGAAATGAAAGAATATATATTTTTTTACGCTTTTATCTTGTGTGTGTGTATGGTAGTCATGATCCTATGTGTGGAATCCTAAAATGTAGCCACATTTGTGAAGTATATACTCCTTCCTTATAGGAGCAAAAATTCAGCAACAGTTGGCCAAAATACATAATAATGTAAAGAAACTTCAGCATCAGTTGAAAGATGTGAAGCCTACACCAGACTGTAAGTAAATTTAGGTTTTCTTTCTGTTTTTTTCTTTGAATGTGTCAGTATGTTCTAGTTTTGTTGGGGGGAGGGGAATTTAAACTTTTCTAATAGGTTTCTCTGAAGCATTAGTGGAGCTAAGCCTATTCTGTTGGCTAAGGATCCGTAAGGGTGCACTGGAAAACTAGTATCTGTTGTTATGTAAGTCCTTTTACCCCTAAAGTGCTATCTAATCCTTATAAGCAGGTAGGCAGAAGAGATAGTGTCATGTATAGAATGAAGACTGGTGTGGAAGGATTCACATTCAGCTATTGAAAAGGAAAAAAGACTAATTCACTGATTCCTAAGCTCACCCTTTCCCCATCATTTGCTTTTGAATCGCCTTTCAGAAGCATTTGGAATACCTCAGGGACAGGCTTAATAGTATGTTCAGAGGCTAGTCATTTGAGGAAAACAAGATTGTATTCCTACCTCCCTACTTACATTCACATTCATTCCTGAAGGATCAAAGCAATAGAACAAGTGCTCAGCTGTATGGACTTCAGAATCAGACAGATGTGGGGGTCCAGTTCTTGATTTTTCACTCATTAGTTAAATGGTTCTTACCTGATTTCACTCGCTAGTTCCATGGTTCTTACCTGATTTCACTCGCTAGTTCCATGGTTCTTACCTGAGTTCACGCACTAGTTCCATGGTCCTTACCTGATTTCACTTGCTAGTTCCATGGTTGTTACCTGATTTCACTCGCTAGTTCCATGATTCTTACCTGAGTTCACTCGCTAGTTCCATGGTTGTTACATGATTGTAACCAGGCGGCTGCTTGATCATCCTGAGTTGCATTTCCTCGGTCCTCGGGCATCGTTCACCATCACACGCAGCCGTCGTTGGGGAGATGAGGTAGTACAATGCCTGTAAAGTACATGTGCAGTGCTTGCAGCAGTGCGAGCGCTAAGGATGTATTATTACTATTGCCACTTGTTATCAAATCCATGCATGAAACTATAAAAGTGCTAGAAGGGAATCTAGATTAATGTTTTTATAATTACATTTTATGAGAATGACGAAGATCAGAAGCCATAAAGAGTGGGCATGGTCACCCACTCAAATCCATAAGCAAAGTTGAAAGGCATACGGGGGAACACTAGCAATAGACAGGTAGCTGAGAAACCAGTAGCCATCATGTATAAAGAGCGCCTACAAGTTAGAGCCAAAAAGGCAAATAATCTAATGGGAAGATGAGCAAAGATTATAAGGCTACATGATAGCAAAAGAAATAGACACATGTGAACAAAGTATGTTGACTTATTACCACATTACTCACTGTGTACAAATGACAGTTAAATCAATAAAAGTACGTTTTTGCCTGTCACTTTGGAAATGGTTCAAAGTATGTGGGTGGTGCACTCGTGGGGACTGTGGCAGCCTCTTTATGGGCGTGCGATGCCATCTAGCAGACTGTAGAGCGTGCATTCTTCATTTAGCACTTTGAGTTTCAGCACTTATCCTCTAAACATGTTTATTTGAGCATGCCAAAATACATATGCAAAGCTATTTATCACAACATTGCTATAAAGGTTCATGTATTAAGGGATTAAATAAATGAATGAGGATAGATTTAGACAAATACTGTGTAGCCGTAAAAAGAGTGAGGTAGAAAGAGAGAATGAGGTATATATATTTATGCATACCGTCCTCAGAGAAAGTCAGCCACCTTTTTGTTAAATGTGCAAGAATTTGTGTAGTATGAATTTTTTTAGTAATAACAATGTTTATTGATATGTATATGAAACAAATCTGTACTTTAAAAAAGGTTGCAATCATAAAACTTACTTTTTTTTTTAAAAGATGTATTTATTTATGCATACAGAGCTGGGGTACAGCCAGAGGTGCTGTGGGGAGAGGATTCACCAGAGAGAGTCGGGAGCAGAACAGTGAACTGAGGTTCACTGCTGAGGGGAGCAGCAGACTGGTCAGGAGAGGTCTGCCGCGCCATGTGGGTCAGCTGCCTGGCCAAGAATTGAACTCGTGCTGCAGTGGCTGCAGGCAGCCTCACTCACAGTGCTGCACTTTAACACATTGCACCACCTGGTTGGGCTCAAAACTTCCTTTTTTTTTTTTTTTTATTACAAGTTTTTTTTTACATCATTTTGTACTTTTTTTTATTTCAAAACTTCCTTTTTTAAATTACAGTTTTTTAATTCTTTAGGCTAAGAGATGTTTTTAAAGTAGGGAACATTCTGGTTTTTCCCAAATACTTAATTCATACTAAAATATGAAGTAACATAATACTTTCTTTTTTCCCCACAGTTGTTGAGAAGCTCAGAGAAATGATGGAGGAAATTGAAAATGCAATTAACACTTTTAAGGAAGAACAGAGGTTGATGTATGTTTTAAACTCATTTTAATATCAAATTATTGACCTTTAGTTTTTAATAACTCTCTTACTAGGTTGCTGTCCACACATTATATTATTGTTACATATTCAGTACAAAAAGCAGTGAAATACCTATCTTCTTTTGTTTGAGGCTTTAGACTGTTTATCATGCTTAAAGTGAATCTTCATTTACATGGCCTCTATAAAATCCAAAATAAGAATTTGAAAGGTTGTTCTTTTCTCTAAGCAAATTCTTTTAAGCTTTAAATTTATAAAGGTTAATGATGTTGAGGGGAAATGACATGAAAAAAAGTTGAGAACAATTAAGTTCAAGGAAAAAGGCTAACAATGGATTATTATTTTTAAACTTGTAGGTATGAAGAACTTCTTAAAGAAGAGAAAACAACAAATAATGAGTTGAGTGCCATATCAAGAAAAATTGACGCTTGGGCTTTAGGTAATTCAGAAGCAGAGAAAGCTTTCAGGACAATGTCCACCAAGGCTCCTGCAGACAGAGTAGCAAGGACACTTCCAGAAGAAGTGATAGATTTTGAAAACTTCCTTCAGCAAACTGGAGGGCGACAGGGGGGCTGGGATGATTATGATCACCAGAACTTTGTAAAGGTGAGAAACAAGCATAAAGGGAAGCCAACATTTGTGGGAGAAGTTCTAGAACACCTTCCTGGAAGAACACAGGATGAAGTTCAACAGCATGAGAAATGGTATCAAAAATTTCTGGCCCTAGAAGAAAGGAAAAAGGAGGTAATAGTCATGAGAATAGCTATTATTTGGTGTCTGTTTCTGTGTTCTAGACATGTAACATGTGTTACTAACTTTAAACAACTGCATGAGGAATGCCATAGCCTCCCCCCTGTGACATTCCTCCCATCCTGTAGAAGCCTTAGGTTAAGTAATCTTACCCAGCTATTCAAGCTAGAGTTGAACACCCTCATTGCCAACATTTCTATCCCAAGAAGTAGTGAAAAGGCTAGACAGTTTAAGATTATGTATAAACCGTCTCTGTCGATGAGAAATCCAGGAAGTCCAGGCTTTAGGTAAAAGTCATCTTACAGGCTACCTAATTCTCTCTAGCCAACAAAGGGTCACTAGAAAAAAACCCTTTGGTCTCTAAAACATTTCTTTGAGTTTTGTGCCTGCACCCTCTTCGCTCACTTTAAAAGACTAAATGTTCACTGCCCCACTTAACTAGAGCAAGTAGGAAATCAGAATCAAAGTTTGATTTCCCCTGAAGTATTTCCTGGCCCTGATTTAGATCAGGGTCTCAGCCTTGGCTGTACTGATGACTTGGCTGAATATCTTTGCTGAGGGGGCTGCCCTGCACTTTGCCTTTGTAGCTAAACCCGAGCGCTCCAGCCAGAGCACCCTGGCTTGTGTTATTCCCGCCTTCTGGAACATCTATCTCTCTGTCTTCCACTCTCAGCCTATCAAAATCTGCTGAGCTCAGATGCTGCTGCTTCCTTTCCTGTCACTCAGATACAGGTAGTCCCCCTCAGAATTTCATGGAACACTTCATTTATACCGCTTTTATCATGAACACATCCAGTACCCGGAATTTATGCACATATCTTCTCTCCCCTAGGGTAGCCCATCTGGTTCCAACTAGCTGGTCTTCCACAGAAACAGTGATTGATCCAGAATCAGCTACTTAAAAGCACTGATTAGTTCAGTTGAGTTTGTTTTTTTAAAGAAAATTTCTCATTGAAGGAAGCAGAATGCATTGATTGATGTTTTGCAAATATCCCTGCCGTTGTGGCCTGGCTTTGAGTGAGTGGCACTGGCTGGGTGACAGTATTGCTTCCAGCTGCCAGGGTTCCTGTCATATCACCTTGTGAGGTACCCAGACCTCAAGAATTTACTTAATGGAATGAAGGCTACACTCATAGGAAAGGTCAAAAACTAGTTTCCTGACTTGAGGAGAAAGTAGATCAGTGGGTGTGTCCCTCACTGTGTTTTAGCGCTGATTTGTTTCATCTTCACAACAGCCCTGTTGTTCAAAACAAACCTTCCAGGTCACAGATGAGAAAAATTAATACAGAAGGTTAGTGATGTATCCATGGTGATGTATCCATGGCAAAACTCTTACTCCACCTCAGTTTTGATACCTCTTCTGATACTTGGCCAGAGAAAAGCCACTCATAAAGTAATTGAAGCCTAGAAAGAGGATTCAGAAGCAGAAGTGAGGAGATCAGAGGAAAAGGCTGTTTCTCCTGGACACGGGAGATTAGTAAGTACTGACTGAAAAGGAAGCGAAGGGCAGGAACCTCATGAGAAGCAAACCTGGGGGCTAGGCAGAGGGGCCAGGTGAAAAGAATAAACCATTGTTAGGTCTTTTAAAAAATACATTACATATTTTTTTAAAGATTTATTTAGGCATACAGAACTAGGGTACAAGCCAGAGGTGCAGAGGCAGTGAGAAGATTCACCAGAGACCGAGCGGGGAGCAGAACAGGCTGATTGATGAAGTACACTGCTGAGGGGAGCAGCGGGCCGGTCAGGAGAGGTCTGCCACGCCATGTGGTCACCTCCGGTGCTGGGGATTGAACTCATGCGGAAGTGGCTTTAGCTTCTTAATGCTGTGCTTTAACTCACTGCACCACCAGGGAGGGCCCATGTTACATATTTTTAAAGACAGAAGTAGGAAAAAATTGTGTTTAAAAAAAAATCACTTTAAAATCTAAGCAACCTGAAATCAGTATTCTTTCTAGATATATGGATTGGAGGTTGTCTTAAAGTGTTTTTGGTCTCTAAAAATATTTTTCTCTTATTGTCTTTTTTAATCATTAAGTCTATTCAGAATTGGAAAACTAAAAAGCAGCAAAAAAAGGAGGAAATTTTGAAGTTAAAAGAAAAAACAAATAACATACCTGTGCTTTATAACAAACACGAAGATACTCAGAAGCAAAAAGAGGAACAAAGAAAGAAGCAGAAATTGGCTATTGAAGCTTGGAAAAAACAGAAAACTATAGAAATGTCAATGAAATATGCTTCCCAGTTAAAAGAAGAAGAGGAGAAAGAAAAAAAGCAACAGAAAGAGCGTAAGCGCCAGTTTAAACTAAAATTGCTACTAGAGAGTTATACCCAACAAAAGAAAGAACATGAAGAATTTTTGAGACTTGAAAAGGAGATAAGGGAAAAAACAGAGAAGGCAGAGAAAAGGAAAACTGCCGCAGAGGAAATTCCCAGGTTTCAGGAAAGAGTGAGTAGACTTGTTTCCTATATGATTTTTCAGTGCCACTTGTAGAAGTATTACTTCCGAGTTCAGCTCAGCGAAAATTGAGACTTATAAGGTGTTTCCCCTGTCCTTGGGTTTGGCATACCTAAATCAGTAAGCCAGGCTCCCGGATTTCTAAGTCATGGTCGGTAGGAAAATAGATGTGTGAGTGGATTGCAGATTAACATAGTGAATAGAGTGATGATGGACATGTAGGGAGAACACTCTAGGAGGTGGATATGCAGAAGTTGAATGTCAGCCAGGAGACACTTGGGGTGAGTCTCACAGAAGAAGGAAGTGGAAGGAAAGGAGGGCGCTTTCCGGTGGAGAGAACAACGGGAACAGCAACTTGGAGAAACTATAAATACTTCAGTGTTCTCAGGACATCCGGTGGGAGGAGGGAATCAGCCAGATGTGTTCCAGCCTGGAAAATTAGCCACAGGCCGGAATGTGAATGTCTTGTCCCCTCGGCCACGCTTGCTGGCCTTTCTCCCCAGTGATTTGCTTGCTCGCTGTCCATCTCCTCAGGCCATGGGAGCTTCTTGAGGCAAAAGCTTTCTCTACTTCCTTCATCCCTGTAGCCCGAGGACTGGTACGTTTTAGATACTCAATGTAGATTTAAAGGAGTTGAGGTTATTACTGAGGTAGGTTTATAGGTGATTTTCATGTAATGTATACAAGAAAGATGATTACAGTCTCACTATCAGATAACATAGTATTCAATCCAAAAAGTATGAAAAAAGATGAGGAAGGTACTTTAAAGTGGAAACAGGTAAGATGATCTGCTAGGAATATCACTGTTATAAACTGTTACATGCATCAAAATACATAGCAGCGACATTCATAAGCACAAAATAAAGGAAGTATGAAAAAAGTTCATAAACAAAAAGTAATAGAAATGTCCTTATTTCATATATAAAAATCTCCCTAATAATGAAAGATCCCATGTTTTCCCATGCCTCATAAAGGCACATAGGCCACATAATAAAAGACTGAGAAGAAAGAAAACCTGTGACACAGAAAAATACGGGATAGACCTAAAACTATCTGTCAGTACATCTGTACTGCTAAGCGAGAATGGGCTTAACTCAACTATGAGAAGAACAGGACCTTAGATTGGACCATAAAGTAAGATCCTCCTAAAAGAAAGTAATCCAAAAAGGATGTGCATGCATTTAATATGTAAAATATCTCAATACAAAATGCACATACATATGCATATACATAAAATGCATGCACATCCTTTTTTGTGTTTGTATATATGTTATCAAGTCTCTAAGGCCTTTAGGTAAAGGCTAATACTGTAGGTATTTGACGGCTCAGGTAATTGAAGTTTACTTGCAAGCAACTAAGCTTTGAAATGAATTCTAATTTTATTTTTTAATTTTATCTTTTGTGTGGTATATTTTTTTTAGGATTTACATAAACTTGAATTAAAAATTCTGGATAGACAATCAAAAGAAGAAGAAAAGGCAGAAAAACAAAGAAGACTGACAAAATTAAAAGAAAAGGTACTCTGGACCGAGATTAACTTATTTTTATTGTTATTGTCCTAATTCCTTGATTTGTAAAGATATAAACTAATTCAGTTTTCTTTATATCCAACTTTGTTTCATTTTCTTTGAATTTCATACTTAGGTCTTTCCATATTACAAAGCATAATAATATAAAGCAACTATTGTTTGAATTTCTACCAAGTCACATAATAAATGCCTACTTTTCTTTTACCCTAAATTACTACTCCCTTACTATTCTGCATTCTTTTTTTCATTCTTTCTTTGTGAGCCTCTATTTTAGATCTGTGACAGCTGTGAGCATTGTTCCACATCCCTGGTAATGCTGGTGATGTTAATGACTCTCAACACAAAGGACCCATTCACAGTTACTATAAATTGGTTAAATCCTAAATAAATTTACTGGCCCTCCTAGTATCACTTTTACTGCATAACATTTCTCCCATAATAGAAAAAACATAGAAGAAAATAATTGAACCAGAAAAATGAGCTGGAATTACACATGGTTAATAGGTTCATGTGGCCCAAATTGTATTTTAACTATTTGGCTGCAGTTAGAAGTGTCCTTGCTGAAGAGGTCATTACCAGATTTGTTTAGATAGCAGGTATGTTTATTGAAACTGCTTTCTGTATTTAAGGCTCTTATTTAGCCAACAGTTTATATAAATTAACTGGCACTCATTGTACTTCTGACTACAGGTGGAAAACAATGTTAGTAGAGATCGCTCTAGGCTTTATAAGCCTACCAAAGGTTGGGAAGAACGAACCAGAAAGATTGGACCCACAGGCTCTGGGCCACTCCTCCGTATCCCACACAGGTAAAGAGGAGCAAGGTGGTCACGCGTTAGAAATTCATAACAACATGTTTATATTCTGTGTTTGTTTATATATGACATTTTTCATGTTTACATTCTGTGTTCTATTTATGTATTATATTTTGCATGTTTATAGTCTGTGTTCTATTTATAGATTATATTTCACAGTAAAGACTCGATAAAGCAAATGATATCTTTTTTAAAAATAACATTTAATCAATTAGGATGATTTAAAATTTCCTGTGTATTTGTAATTGTTCTTCTCTTTTTTTCCCTTAGGGCTATTCCAACCTGGAGACAAGGAATGCAGGAAAGAACATAAGATAATGAAATTGGTATTTAGTTAATGGAGAATGTTAGCATATTCACTTACAAAGAAGAGAGTGACTTAACCATGTTTTCTTACACTGACCTAGTCAGTTGTGCTATTTGTGAATTGACAGGTAGTAAGTAGCATTACCATTAGTAATTCCTGTTTATACTGAGAGTATTTAATACGTATATTTGCCTATTATTTATGTAAAAGTTTTTTTATAAGTTTACGTTATAAACATTATTTCATTTACTGATTCAGAACCTTTCAAACACTGTTTTTGTCATGGCATAGCAAGATAGACAATCAGTAACTTTTTTAAGCTAAAATTTTTTAACATTGGTAACTTGGGGGTAATTGAGTAACAAATGTAAAGTTTTTTGGATTATGAAATAAGTTAGCACTTTTCTAAGTACAACTTAACTAGTAGTTTGTCAGTTGTTAACTTTTGTGTAATATTTTGTATCTGTTTGAAGCATGCTTTGTTTTATATAAAATTTTAAAAATATGCCTCTCATCTCTTATAAACCCTGTTATCTGTATTATTGATAAAATCTTTTTTGGTTTCTTTAATTATTCCAAATTAACCTTCAACTTTCTGGACTTAACATATTTATAAAATTTTTGTGGTTTTCACATTTTCCTGGCTAATGCAGTTTTCTTTTCTGTTTCTATTTGCTTCATTACATGAAGATTCTGTTTGACACATCATCTGAAATAAGCTAGCTTTAGAATACTGTGACTTCTCTTGGTGGCATTTTAAAGGTTTCAAAATTGCTAGATTAATATACTTGGTCAAAAAAAAAGTTAATTTTAAAATTTCCAAACTTTTGTATATGAGAAACATTTAACTTAATTTGACTCAACCTTTCCTATCATAAATCTTAGTTCTAATTTTAATTTTTACTCTCTTACAGGAAAGCTACCATATACCAATTAACTAGAAAACTTGTTCCTTTTTTTTTTT